GCCATGTTCACGTAGCATTAGGACTTGACGACCCAAGTGCACCTTCGGGCATATCTACGGACGCCGTGGCAAAACTTCTCGCACAAGAAGTAGGGATGTCTTCGTCTCAAATGAGGGTGTCTACTGCAGAGCGGAATCGCTGGTCAGACTATGCGCAAGGCGCACGCTCACGTTCGTCATCCGTTGGACATGGCTTAGCGGAGAGTGATGCGGGCAGTCCCGCTTTGCGTGGAACACCCAGTTTTGACCGCGCATGGGAGGCTGTAGATGAGAGGGATGAGATGGGTCTTACCAGCGAAGACGAGACGGACGACGACGTGTTACTTGACGATGAGGACGAAGACGACGAAGAGCAGGAAGAAGCTACCAGTGCCATGATGATTGCTGAAGAAGGACGTGGTATCATTGTGAGAGGGGGTGATGGGCCCATATTTCAATTACATGTCAAGCCAGGTATGAGAATGTTCCTTAAGAACCCCTTAGTAGGATGCTCAAACCCAACCTTATTTTATAGGCACCACTCACCTTCTTGTTGGGTCTTCAAGTACCCCGAACCATGTTCCCTCGTTCCTGGCGAACACTATACCGCCAATTGCTACTTCACTACTTGCACTTGATATTTCCGCTAATTTCCTGGTCGCAATCCCCCCTGCTCTCCAGGCTTGCGTCTGTCTCGAGGAGTTGAACATTGCATCTAACCCCCTTCGCGCCCTTCCTGTCTTTCTTGCTGGACTCACCTCCCTGCGCGTTCTCATCGCTGATTCAACAGGCCTGAGCACATTGCCCCCTGCTCTTAGTGCATTGGACAAATTACATTCTCTCAGCATTCGCAGGAATAAGATGAATTCTCTTCCCAGCTGGTTGTGCCTTTTACCTTCATTAGAGACACTCTTAGTGGATGGAAACCCGTTTCAAGGTCCCTGGAAGGCATTGGTTGAGCCTTTGTTGGCTAAAGTTCCTATGTCTCCTCTTTATCCCCCATCTACGCCTATGTTCCCTATTCCGTCTGCCAGCATGGAAAGCACCACAGATACTGATAACGAGGACTCGGTGGATTCGCCATGGGTTGAACAGGATCAAGCTTGCATCAATGTTGAGGACGAAGACACCATCACACCAGCCCGGGCTCCTCCAATAAGCCGGTCAGTAACGGCACCTATTCCTACTTCACAGAGCGCACCTTCTCCTCCCCCACTATCCCGCACACGAACGACGCCAAACCGGGCGTATTATGAGAGATACCGTTCGCCACGCAAATCCATTGTCGATAATGGTCAAGGTGCAGCACCCCCCAACTCCTCAAGTTCTAGGGAGGCGAGTGAGCGCGAGGTACGGAGGATGAAGAGCGCAGGGGAGCTACGTAGGAGTCCTGGTGGTACCCACGTAGGGTTGCATTCGAGTTCCGCTACATCCTCACCCAAGCACCCTGAGATGCCATACCTCGCGACATCAGCTATCAGCCCCAAATTACAGCCTATGAGCTCTCCCTTACACGACGAATCGGCTTTGCCAAAGCGTTTCGCTAGCCTAGGCGTGTCATCAGCGTTGTCTGGTAGCGTGAGGTCAAGGCCTGCTATGGACCCTACCGTCTGGGATGATTCGTCTGCGGAGCAGGATGGTAACAACGCTGCAGACGCCGCAAGCAACATGCTCTCTCCTTCCATCGCCACAAGACCCCCAATGGGCTCCCAGCTGTCCAAACAGGATCGCCAGAGTCACTATACACCAGACTCTCCGCCCCGACAGAAGGAAGATGTGAAGCCTACAAGATGGGGCTTCCTGAAGAAGATGTCCATGGGCAAGATGAGGATTGATTCGCCTCCATCATCTCGACCAGGCACAAGTCAAGGACGCACCCAGTACACCAGATCATCGTCCAGCAGATCTGTCTCTGTTGCTGCTCCCGACGCACTTCGAACTTCGGTAACTCCTCATATTGATGTGCGGATATCTACCACTGGAACTCTGTTACACCCTATCAACGTTCCTGGCCCGCATATGATCACAAGAAAGCCGTCTATGGAATTGTTGAAAGTGTCACCTCCGCCTGTCATTCCCGAAGTATCTGTGAGCCCATCCGATGATATGTCACCAGCGTCACCCAACTTTCTTAGTCCCCTTGGGCCTACTTCCCGATCCGCGAAACGGAGAAGCTTCTTGCCCATAGACATGGCCCCAATACCGATACCCCCCCGATCGCCATTTGTGCAAGGTTTAACTGCAACGAACGGATCGGATGACGGGGATGACTCCAATAGAGCGATTCCGAGTCGCATACACACAGAGAGTATGGAACAAATTCAGCGACGGGAAGAAGAGAAAGCCAGAGAAACACGGACACGTGCATTGCGGTCTGTAATGGCCTATCTGCGCGACATGCATGATCTGGGATTGACTCAGACTCCCAACACTATGAGTGTGTATGGCGGAAGTCTCGAGGCTCCCGCGAATGGTGCACGTTCTCGCAGACCTACCGTCGTGGAAAACGGTCGTGTACCATCAGAAAGCTCTATCGGCTCTATCTCTGCAACGATGACATCGAGGTCTGATTTGTCTTCTCATCTCCGTTCAATGGAGTCACGGATGGGATTGCGAAGCAGCTCTGCGCAGACAAATAGCGTTGCAACCGTTGCAACCACAGACAGCAGCGGTAGCGGCTCTGGAGAGGAGCGAAAATATAAGGATGATAAGGGGAAGCGGGCCAGAATATTGAGGGAGATTGTTGAGTATGTTCGAGGCATCCTCTATTGCTGTATGATACTGAGTATTACCATTTCTAGGACCGAACGAACGTATGTAAAAGGCCTACAAGAGCTGGTCGACATCTATATCAAACCCGCTGCAGCGCCAGTAACTGTGCTCAGCGGTGTAGGCCAGAGTATCGTTCCGTCTGGAGAACGTAAAATCGTTTTCAGCGGCCTTGAATCTCTGTTCTCTTTCCACAAGGAGAGCTTTTTACCAGCATTGGAACGTGTCACTACTCCCATCATGGTGCCATCTTCTCAACTTGCAGAGATGGACACGGATGGACATATCTCCCTCGATGTTGCCCGAGCCGTGGCTCACATTTTTGTGTCGCACGCTGCTTTCATGAGGATGTATTCTACGTATATCAAGTAAGTTGCTGAGTGGTCTAAAAAGCTTCGATACTGATCCTCATTTAGCAATTTCGACAATTCCGTCCAGCGGCTCAAGGCATGGGTTGCAGATAAACCTACCCCCGGCGCTGTCCTATCCCCATCATCGAGCACTGCGCAGTTGGTTGGCCTAGGGCTTACAATGTCAGCTGTTTCCTCTGTCAATGCTCTGCCCGATATGAGCACACCAAGTGTAGCCCCCCTAACATCTGGTCAACGGAAGCGTCTCAAGGCCTATCTGAAGCGGTGTCGCTTGAATCCTCGACATTCACAGCTCAATTTAGAAGGTTATCTTCTCCTTCCCGTGCAACGAATCCCTCGCTATCGGTTATTGGTGAGCAATAGTTCTTCAGCACGTCAATTGACCGTCCCTATTGACACGTCTGCACAGCTTGAAGAACTTGGGAGGAGCTGTCCACCTGTATACGACTATGTGGAAGACCCTCTAGATAGGGCTCTTACAGAGATATCCTCCTTGGCCACCAACATGAATGAGGGTAAGCGGGAATCGGAGTCCCGGCGTAAACTCGTTCAGTGGCAAGCGAGGATACGTGGGAAATTCCCTAGTCCTTTGGTGCAACCACATCGGTGAGTCAATTCTTATTCTAGCTCAAGCTTTCGTAGAGCCTCAATATCACAAACAGTCGGCTTATTATGGACGGTCCGCTCCATCTCACTCGCGTCGTGCGCAAGGCGACGCTATCATTCGAGGTTATCGACTCGAAGGGCGACGCTTCCACGGCGCAAGTCGAATGTTTATCGCCCGAATTGACTCCGCGCTCATTGATTGGCGTGCTATGCAACGACTTATTGGTGCTATGCCGAGACCCAACGGAGGGTCAAGAACCCAATGCACATGTGGACCTTTGGGCTGTTTTAAGAATGCAAACGCTTCCTCAGCCAGCAAGCATCGTACATGGAAATGGTGTGTATCTTAATTCATTGAGCAGTACGTATCATCGGCTGATCTTGATTAGCCCTTCGATTGGTCGATAATAAAGCTATCTTATACTTTGACGTACCTTCCACGTCAGATGCTTTGACTTGGTTCAGAGGTACGATGATTGAGTTATGAGTCGAGAGATGGCGCTGACTTGTCCTCAATGCAGCAATAAATCTGCACATCCCCGCCTCAAAAGCGTAATCTGGACCCTCTATTCATCGTGATTACGATTGACATCGTCGTCCATCACTAATACTCACCTTAAGATCAACTGTTCTCATTCATCTGGCATCCTCTGGCATAGGTATCATGCGATATGCGCCCGCCCCTCACTTCGCTCGTTCAAGCATTCGTTTCATTTGTACTTGTCCTCTCCGCAGCAAGATCTGGTCCTTTCACTATGTTTCGATTGTTATTCTTTCCTTGTTTCACTCATACGCCTCCATGTCGCCGTTTTGCTTCACTCTTTGTCGCACCTTATTGTAAGGGTTCTATGTATAGAAATCAACCGAATTGTGGAAACATTTCCCGTACCGTGCTTACTAGGCAGGTTAACATATAGTAATCTAGAGATGTGGAACTACGGTACTGCTAAGTAATTTGATACTGGGCAAGATGTGGTGTGTCTCAAGAACTTCCAATTGTTATGGTATCGTTGTTCTCAATCACCTTGCTTGAGGCAAGGTCCTCTCCAAATCGAAATTCGTAACCAAATTTCGCCCACCTTTATTAATATGATCAGCTATTCTGCACAGCTCGGACAAGTTTCGAAAGGATATCGGTTTACTTTGGTCAGATACACACGAAGCAGTGGTGCGCGTGGAAGAAATGAACGAAGTGTAGGGATAGTTTTTACCGTGTTTCTACTTTAGTCGTATAGGAAATTCCTGTCACTATTAGTTTCAATGTAAATTATGCAAGGACCTGTGGCGCAGCGGTAGCGCGTGAGATTCCAATTGTTGGTTCTTCCAATTCTGGTACCTTGCGGTCATCCGTTCAAATCGGGTCAGGTTCAATCTTTTTAGTCTTTTAACTTTATATGTAAGTATGACTTTGAAGTTTGAACTTTGAACTTTTTAGGCTTAAAGCCATAGATGATTGATACTTAGATCAGAGAGTTGGCTATCGAAACGCATTCCGTTCCGCCACAGCAGCCGCGAAACTCCTCCGTTCCACGTGCTCCCTATTGCCACGCGTTCGCCACATGGCTTCCTCGTAAGATATGTGAGCTGGTCACTTGCTTTTGCACTGCTTTCTCCTTACTGTAGTTTCTTCGTTTCTCATTTCTCAAACATAACCATCTTCTTGTATATTCTGTCCCATTGGAATGGCCACAGTGATACAGGCAGTGTACATTCGCGGCTTCGAGGAGCGTCCGAGTCCCAAACCGCATGCTGTCTATCGCATTGAAATCCAAGCTTCTGTGCGGTCGTGGCAGATGTGGAGACGGTACTCAGAGTTTGTTGACATGCACACAGAACTGGTCAAATCCACTGGCTTATCACCACCTGTCCAACTTCCACCTAAACGTCCTTTCCTCTTCCGCACTCACGCAAACTCTTCATTACTAGAGGAACGGCGCGCTGGCCTTGAGCTATACCTTCGTGCCATCATCAGCGCGAAGGATGACATATGGAGAGAGTCATATGCGTTCAGGGACTTTCTCGGCGTCCCCGCAGGCAAATTGCAGGCGGATGGAGGCAGCTCACGGCCATCTGAATTCACTTCCTCTTCCTGGTTAGACGAGCACACGGACTTGCAGGCACGCGTTCGAGACGTCCGTGCAGATATCAACAAACGCGATGCGCTCTCTGACCGCGGTGACGTATCTGGGTCTCATCAATCCAATGTGCAAGCTAAGAAGAAGCTCGCAGCTGCTCTCACGCGTGTTAGCGTGCTGGAAGAAGGATTACAGAACCTGGGCTATGCTGGGATGAGTGAAGGGGAGCTGCAAAGGAGGAGGGACATGGTTGCTCGACTGCGAGATGATTGCGAGAAGCTGGCAAAGATGGCGACCGTGGCACGGTTGACGTCTCGAGGGCTTGGTTCAACGTCGGAGAGAAACCCTGCATCTGAGTCGGATCGCGCGGCACTCTTCGACAGCCCTCAGCCTAAAGCCGCGAATGGATTCCAGAGGCCTATAACGAGGGTCTTTGGTGGTGCCGCTAAGCCAAAGGAGACGGAGCAAACGAGACCACTGGACAACCATGGGTTGCTACAGCTGCAGCAGACCCAGGTAGATCACCAGGATGCACAGCTCGCACAGCTCTCAACCATCCTGCAAAGGCAGAAACACTTGGGGTTAGCAATAGGACAGGAGATATCAGAGCAGAACGAGCTCTTGGATGATTTGACTGGTGAAGTGGATCGGGTCGGAGGGAAGCTTTCGAACGCAAAGAAACAGATGAATAGACTTGGTTAACCTTTTGTTGTAAGTTGGATATATACGTTGGACGTTGTTGATTCCCTCATCGGTATTTGCGGATTAATGCATATACATGTAGATATGTGGGAGAGTGTGTAAGTCTATTGAATGGAAAGATTCTACGGAACACGACTACCCGCATTCATATCGTCTTTTCTACTCAGGAACCGGCCCACGCCCTGCCAGAACAGTTATTCAAGCGAACATACATGATATGCGGGAGACGACGTACCTCAAAGCATGCAATCATGATCCCACACGCTGGGGCAATCTTGACGATACGTGGTACCACACCTGTATACAATGCTGATACCCCTTCGGTTCGTAAAACCTCCCTCAAAACTGATATTGACGACCCTGACGACCCTATGTTTGCCCCACCAGTTGTCCCGGACATGAGTAACGCTTGCTTCCGTGTCTTCAACACATCAAACGGTGACGTAAAAAGCGCTGCTGTGGTCCCGCTGAAGGCTCCACTGACAAAAGCGACACCTGCGCCTTCATGCCCTGCACGATTAAGTGCACGCTTACAAGACTCGTATCCTGCCCAATATATCCCGCTAAATGGTACATCACGCCATAGTGTTGGACCCAGTCCGCGCCATAGATGTAGGTGACCGTGGGCGCGGGCAAGCGCGCCGACGGACGCGAGCGTGGAACGGAGAGTATGTGGGGTAGATGGTGAAGGTGGGGTACTTTGGAGATTGGTCCGTATGAGCTCGAGCGGTGAGGCAATAGTTGTGATAATGGTACGGGCGGTGATACCCGCTGTGAGTGGTACGAGATAGGGTGGTAATAGGGAAGGAAACACTTCGTGGAGAAGATGGTCGTAAGTGAGCATATAACATGTAGATGATGGTACACTAATCAACCTGGTATGGAATTTAGCAAGGTCCGTGTAAGCTGGTGAGAAGGTGGAAATACTCACAAAGTGGTTCCCGCCCCCTTCCAAAGCCCCGAAATACCCTCTGCACGCCAAACATGCCGAATCGCATCAAAGAAGCCATTTACTCGTTCTGTCCTGAACATGCCATGGTCCCATACGCATACCACTTCCCCAGCAGTAGAGCGTGACATAGCAATTGTGGACATTCTGCGCACACAAGGAGAATTCGCAGGCTGACAGCATACGTTTGGCGGTGGTTGGGGAAATAGAGCTTGGGGTCGTACTGGCTGTGTTTGAAGGCGTGTCTTTACGACATCAAATGGAGTCACTGAGGATGAATAGTTCAGTATGTATCTCATCGTACATTCAGATACACACACTTGTTAGGGCGGTCACTGTAGACCCCGTCGCTGCTGCGACCAGTTTCGCTCGCTGCGGCTCCATAGTTAAGATTTCCAGAGTATGTAGTGTGAGGTAAATAGATTCAATAAGGATAAAATGCGGCCTGAGTGTATTCAGGGCTTTTGAAGAGTTGTGCGAGGTGGAAGGAGGGAAAGAGTGAGGGAACGAAACCGCGGAACGACTCTGCGTCACTTTGCCGGCAGCCGCAGAATTGCTTATCAGATAACTTGAAAATGGCCACGTGGCATGCAGATCATGCTTTTAGCGCTTCTCTAAGTTGTTGGCCAACGAATATCATCTTCAAAAGAATCGAAATTTCGAAGTTTCAAACGGGCTTCGATGCTTTCACTACAACAAATTTCATCCCAGACGCTGCAAGCATACCAATCGTCTTTGAAAACAATACCCAGCCTGTCCCCTGGGTCGCAAGAAACTTGCAGAATCCAGGAAATACATCGGCTGAAATATCCTCCAACTCTCCCGCCGTATATCCCACCGCCCGTATCACCTCCAGGTACTCTTCCATCGTTGCTATATTCTCTTGCGGGACGACTCCGAGCAGACCAAGTAGTTTGAACCACCGGCTTGGCTTACCCGTCGTACCAAAGCATATGTCGGCCAAAGCAATGTGACCGCCAGGAGATAGGCGGGCGAAGCTCTGGCGGAGGAAATCCTGTCGCGTGCGGAAGTGATATGCGCAATCTAGTGCAAGTATCGAAGTAAATGGCAACTCTTCTGAGGATGGGTCGAGAGGGTGTTTTCTCTTGCCCATTTCCATATGATACACTGCATCGCCATGATACAGCTCGACTTTTGTGCCGGGTTCCGCATCGGTTGTGCGTTCTAGCGAACGTTTGTGATGCTCCTGGAGACTGGTTATACCTACGAGTAGGGACGGTCGCGGTACGGATGGATGTTTCAGGTGCAGGAGAAGAGAGTCTCCACAACCATACCCGACATCTACAATTTGCAGCATTAGTGTGTGTGTGGGAAAAGGACCGAAAATCAAGCCACCTAGCACTCTTCCATTTGGTAAACATCCAGCTACTTCGACTAGTTTCAGCCCCAGTGCTAATATAACAATATTGAGACAAATTCATTAAAGTATGAGTTACTCAATTGCGTACCTTCACATGCTTCTGGGAACCGCTCTGTGTCCTGTGTGGAATCCAATTCTAAATGTGGTTTTTTTAAACAGTTTGACGTTAGGCTGTACCTTCCAATACCCCATATTGAGCCATTCCGTGGCAGGTGGTTGGCTTGCTCCCTCTGAATTGAAGGAGAGGTGGAAAGATCCATATGGATCGCCCGACTTCGTTTGGTATAGCCAGAGGGAAATACACAGAAGTGATGCAGTTAAGAACACTGTAAACCACCAAGAATCATCCAACATTGTGTTCGACAGCAAGCCGCCGTGTGAATATATTGATGACATTTAGCGACGTTGCATTCATTGGACAGACGAGTTGATTGTAAGTAAAGTCAGCTGGTATCTGTGCGCAGTGCTACCCTTGTATATAGTATTTATACATCACAATCAAAATAAAGTCAAGATAGAACTACATGATATCCCAACGATCGTCCTGCGCGGCCGTGTCGATATGACAGCCGCTACATGCACTAAAGCTACATTACCCAATGCTATATAATCAAGCAGCCTCCTCGACGCGAGTAGGAGTAGTCGAGGGAGTGTGAACAGTATCCTCTCCTAAAGGTTCGACGGCTTCTCCTATAGCGGTCTCGCCAATTATGTATCGCAACACGTCGCTCAATGTGATAATGCCTAGGAGTCTTCCTTTCATGCCCCCTTTGCGTTCTTCCTCCTGTAGGTGCCATGAATTTGATTAGTGAGAGAAGACATTTCAAGGCAGACTGACGCACATCACCCTCAACGACTACAAGTCGATGCACACGACGCTTCTTGATCAGTTGCATAAGTGTTGCGAGCGAATCTGAAGCTGTGCAAATGACGACCCCTGGGAAGTCGGGAGATCGTTGATTGAGGGCTTCTGAGATAGTTAAGTCGAGAGATTGATATGCCCCTAGACGGACGAGGGTCTGTTGAATCCCCAAGATGTGTGTCAACTATAGTTGAAGCATAGAGAATGGGAGGGCGCGTACAATGACATCCACAGTTTCGTATAGATTGACGACGATCCCATTCTCGTCTACAATAGGTACCGCAGAGATTCCACGCTCTGAGAACATATGGACCACGTCAAATACGGGCGTGGACATAGATGCCGTAGCAATGGGATGGTAAGGATTTCCATCCGAAGAGCCCTCAGCAGAAGGCGGCCAT